TAAAGAAAATTTTCATAATTATTAATTTTTTAAATTAATTATTAATTTTGAATATAATTAAATCTATTATTAAATCTATACGATATATATGTCTAAAAAATTATATTGAAAATTATACTTGAAGACATATCATGACAAAATAAATTAATAAAGATATAAAGAATTATATTTTACTGATTTGCTTAAAAAATTATAGATTATACAAATTTTCGCGCTATATATGATTCAATATACATGTAGTAATATATATATATTACATTATAATATTATATATAAAATAATCCTACAAAAAATATTTTTCATGATTAGAATATGATTCATAGTTCAAAATAATATTAAAATGAGACTTTTTTTCTATTTATTAAAATTGAAATATTGTATTAATATATTTTTTTAATTTATTTAATTTAACTATATAAGAAAATAATATAAAAATTAGTTTATTCAAATAATAAGATTATATCTTCATTAAACGAATTGAATTTTGATTTTATTTTCAAAGCTTTCTAATTGGTTGAAACAAAAGTTTCTAGATAGTCAAGACCAATAATATTTTTGCAGATTCGGCGTTAGTCGTGAAAGAATTTTGATAAGAGACGTCATAGAATCGTGCAATTAATCAAAAGTTTTCAAAGACAAATATTTTATTTATAGTATTCTTAAAAAAAAAAATTATATTACAGTGCGTAAGATTAGAATTTGTTATTGATAGAACTGTCATAATAATATAAATTGTATTTTTAACTTAAAATATTAAGTTGAAAAGTAGTTGCCTTATATGTGTGTTTTTAAAAGAATCACATAGAATACTTCGAACTGAGGCTAAGGGTTCGTTTAGGGTTTGACTGAATGGTAAGATTATTTTAAGCCTTACAAGACGATTGAAACGCTCAGGTTAAACGTTTGTTATTCCTTTAAACGAATTCACACTTTTGCAAGTCGCAACTTAACTTTTTTTAGTTTCTTCAAATTGTTGAATTTTTATTTTATGTTATTCATCTCTTGTATAAATATGTATAAATTTTAAGTTGTTTTGTTGATTTCTTTTTTTTTTTTACCTGAACCTTTCTATCGTCATTGTATCGTTAATCGACTTAATACACGACCTCCATTTTTGTTGCAACTATTTCATTCGGCATATTTCTTACAGTGTTTCTTGATTCAATTATTTTTTAAATCATTTTTTGAATTTTTAAATGCATTTCTACGAAAATCAAAATTTAGGTTAAATCAAATGTATATTTTTAAAAAGAAGAATAGACAGAAATTAATATTTATAAAATCATGTTTAATGATAATAGGTCGTAGATTCTAACAAATTTGACATTTACATCTACAGATATAACCTGAAGAAATATGTTTAACATAATTTATTGTAAAGCTTTTAACATATGAAAGAAATATTCGTAAAATACATTGTATAATAAAAATTCTTTATATGAATATATAAAAAAAAATTAAACTATTGTAAATTTAGAATATGAATAATAGAATAGAACAATTTTTATGCATAAATTTCAATTTAAAATTTGAAATATTCATCAATTAAATCACGTAATTTTTTTAATGTAAATTTTTTATA